TCAGCGATCGGCACGAGAGCACGCTTCCCTTTCATCGGCATCCGGACGGACCGCCTTCGCCGGTGCTTCGACTTCCTGGTCGGACCACTCTTACTTTCTTCCCGGTGAACCGTGACTCGATCGGCGCACACCGTTCGGCACAATAAAAAGCCCCAGACACAATGCATCCGCTGACCGTTCGCCTGTTACACGTTTGCCATCGTGACGTGGACACCTACTCTGCTACACCACCGTTCGTTCATTCTTCTCGCGGCAGCGAGCCGGTGAAAGCGCGGATTACGAGCGGCCGAATCGCGGCTGCGAAACGAAATTATGCATCTTGCGGCCTGTCGGTGGTGTCCTTTCGAGAGCTCGAAAGTTTCTAGCGAACGGAAAACAGGCGAAGGACACCGACTGTTGCAAGCCGCCGGAATTTTCGAAACCCGCGAATTAGAACGGAATAGCAGATCTGTTGCGAGAATCACTGGTTATTGCTTTGGAATTTATTTTTCTATCGACGGAGCGGCGAAGATTGTAGGTAATATTGTAAGAGTAGGGGGAGTTTGATGGAACGAATCAGAGATTTTAGGTCTCAAAGTGTAAAGCTTTCGCGAAACTTCGCTTAACCTTTGAATTGGGCAAGACGAGTTAATTCGTCGTTGGTTAATCAATGCTTAGGACACGATAATTTATTTATCGAAGGATTATTCATTTCTAACGGAGGGAAGTAATTGGTTATAATTCTTACTCATTTTTAATTATAGACCAGAGAGATTTCTGTTTGATAGGTGAATCCAGTTAACAGGTTAATATCTCAACCACCCCGTTTCAATATTTCCTTTCAAGATTACACGAATGATACTACAAATGATGCGTTTCAAAATTGGAAAATCGAACTCTGAAAAATTAATTTACAAAGATCTCGACTAGCTTCCTTTCCTTTTCGGCTGGAAGCTTTTGAGCTTTAACCCTCCATCCGACAGGATCCACAAAAACTCTACTACACACATAATACTAGAAAACCGTGTACTTCAAACCGAATAACAACAGAAATCAAAACATTGTAAAATCGACAAACCAAAAAAAAAAAAAAAGAAAAACGCAAACATAACAAAAACTACAGTATCACCGATTCGTCAAACCCCAGCAAAACAAACCGCACGCGTGAACCCAGAAATTATGCGAAACTCGAGCGTATCTTCGGCTGATCGGAATCAATTGCTCATGCCGTAACATCTCGGGCAGACTCGATTTTCGCGATCGGTTCAGCGAACTCCAGTGGAAGAAGAAGCTCGCGCTCGCGTCGATAAGGGGGTCCAAGCTCGGCCCCGCGATAACAGCACCGACACGGTTCGAGGTTGTTCACCTTGGCGTGTTGGCGCGAGCGCGTGAGCGAGAGAAGACGGAGTGTGTGTGCGTGTATTAACACGCCCGTGGACGAAGATAGTCGCGCGCGCTCTCTCGCCTAGCGTAGTGTGTAGAAGGCTTGTGTCGGTCCGCACCACGCAGCGTGGAATCGAGCAACAGAGCCAAGAGAAATAAAGAGGCGAGAAAAAGAGGCGAGCCGCGAGAGAGATTAGAGGAAGAGGGGAGATCGTGTACTCTCTTATCGGGCTTCTCGTCGGTTTGGCTTGTGGCGTAGGGACGTTGCGAGATTAGAACGACCCCGAGAGCAGCTCAGAGAGTCGACGAACCGGCCCCTGATTGGGCGATGTCGAGTCAACGCTCCTCTCGCCACCGCGCGCGCTCCCGAGGTGGAGGTTCGGCGGAGCACACACCACGGTTCGGAGGGGGGAGGGGGAGTAATCGTGGACTGGGAGAGGACACAGCGCATCAATCGAGGTCACTGGGGACCAGGAGGAGGCCAGGCCATTGCCCGTGTGTCTTGCTTTTGAGGTTAGCCAGTCGTCAGCACGAGCGCAATTAGAAAATGCCTGATGGAGTTCGCTGTCGAAACGAGCTTTTTTTCCCCTCCTCTGTGTGCTCCCTTAAACACCAGCTGGCGGTAGATTGTAATCACTCTGGAAGGAATGCCTCGCGATCGTCTTCCGAACCTTCGCTCGGCGTTTCACTGTTCCCGATTCGTTTAACCCTGAATCAACGGACGGTGGTACGGGTTTGGTGAATGGGACCTGTAGGGTTCGTTCGACGGAACGAACTCAGCCGAAGGTTTCGCTCTCCTGTTCGGTCTATAATTAGGATGTTCTGCCGTGGATAGCAGGTCTTGGGAAATTGTCTAGCTGGAGGTAGCAGGTCGGTTTATGCTGTGACGCAAGAAACTGTTGCACAAATATACATACATACACGAAGTAGGAAAAAGGGTGGCGTAAATCAATCTCGATCAAACTTCAAGCCTTCGGGAATGTTTCAAGGATACACACAACGAGCTTATCTGTTTCAACTGACTCTGATGTGGAGAAGCGATTCAATACCCCGCTTTTGTAGATCCATCTGTTAGAGCGTGAGATACGGAATATCGAATTTCTAGTCGTTCGCAAATTAAGCGAGTAATTGAGTTTCTCGCGAACTTAAAGTTCGTGGAAATCTCGTTAAGTCACTCCTGAGAAATCTCGCGGTTCGTATTAAGCGACATTTCCAAACCAATCTCTCACCTATTACCTACGGTGCCGCTTTCCACGAAAAATCTACGCGACAGAAACGTTCCGTTTTCCTCCGAAAGACACGTGTCGTTTGAAATCGCCCCGAGAGTTCAACCCTCTCTGGCCGGTGAAACGGAGCAAGGAGGGTCTGAAGGAAGCGTTGCGTCAGTCGATTGCACGTTGCTAAAATTACGCGAGTCGGTTCCCCGTGGCCGTTCGCGGCCCGCATTCTTTACGCCCTGTCTCGCCACGGCGGAGGTGGCGGCTAGGCGGTGTTACGGTTGATCCTGATGCGCGCGCGAATCCCTACGGAAATTCGGAATGCAACGAGCGGAACGAGCGGAACAGCTCGACCGAGAGTGGCGCTCTCTCGACCCACCTCGTAGTTACGCTCGTTGAGGCAGGTCAGTGCTCCGAACGACGACGGATGCAGCTACGGCGAGGAACAGAGAAACGGTGAAAGCATTCCAACATGGCCGCCACGGCGAGAGTGATCACGGTCCAGCAGGCTCGGCTAATGTACTTTCTCCGCGGGACAGCCGAGGCTCCGGGCTCGAAGGATTCGAGGGAAAAAGAAATCGGGAAAGAAGGAGTCAGAGGGAAAAAGAGTAAGAGAGAGAGAGGCTCGTGGGTAGGTAGCCCATACGTAATTCACTATCGTGAGGTTACGTAACGGGGCCTACGAGGAGAATTCTCAGCCGGTTGAACGGACTTGTGTGTGAGTGTACGCCACATGCGTGTGACGTAGGTGTGCGTTACACGTACATCGGTCGCGGCTCTTTCTCTTTCTCTCTCTCGCGCGCTCACGCAATTTTACGAGCGTGTGGGAGCGTTACGTGTAGACTATATTGCACTCAGGTGTGAATATCGGTGAAATTGCATATCTCTCGGAGAGATTAGACCGACTCCAGTCGAAATTCTTGGATATCGTACATGAACGACGTTAAGTTAAATTAAATCAATTTTTCAATCGCCGAGTAATTATCGTTTCTAATACTTCCTCCTAACTAAAGAGTACCCCTGTTCTCGGAAAATGTCGCAAACCCAATTGCGACGCTCGAACTACCTCGAACACCGTCGTATCCTCCCGCGCTTATTACAAATTCAATTTGGAAAAGGACGGCGAAAAAAACAACCGAAAAAAGTAATAACGTTCTAAAATAGAAAACGAGGGGAGAGACACACCGCGATGAACAAAAGGTGGGCGAACGCTTATGAACGGTGTGTGTATGTGTGTGCGCGCGCATGTGTAGCTGTGTACGTAATCGGTCTCTTTTACGCGAGCAGAACAAGAGGGCGAACAGGCAGGCCGAGTGTGTTGGTGACCTTCGATGATAGCCGCGGGTGGGGAGGTTGGTCGAGTAGCTAAACTGCACGGGTGGGGGGAAGGGAAGGCGGGAGAGACGAGAGCGGGTCGGTAGGGAGACCCAGTTCGAGTTTGTTGAACCGGCCCGCCGGCGATTGGCCACACGAGTCGCGGAGTTCACTCTACTTGCCGAACGGAGGTAGGAGAAGGCGAGAGGGGTACGGTGGGGCGAGGTGGCGGGCCGCTCGGTTAATTTCATCTTGCCCCAGTTACGGGCCAGGCAGGGTGAACGAACTAGCCTCGCGCCAAGGCCCCACCGACCTACTTTCCTGTTCT